AACGCAGTCCTGCTTTCATGCTTGGCTCACCCCCAGCCTGCAGTAGAGGAGGAGATATGTGGAAAACTGCAGGACCCCCAAATCCACCTCTTGGGGTGCAGAGTGGCAACAGCAGCAGCAAACCCTCAGGTCCGATCACACACCAATGGGCACCACCGCCAGCCCAACGGACCATGGTGAAGTTAGCACAGCATCTGATCTCAGGGACGGGGCACCCATGGAGCCACTGCAGCTCATCCTGCCCTGCGCAGCTCCCCCCGGATGAGATGGATCGCTGCCAGCCCAAGGGAGAGACGCGCTCCCCAGCTAGGGTGACCAGCTGTCCTGATTTTATAGGACCAGTCCCGATATTTGAGGCTTTATCTTATATAGGCACCAATTACTCCCACTTAGGGTGACCAAACGGCAAGTGTGAAAAATCAGGACAGGGGGTGGGGGGTGGGGTAATAGGAGCCTATTATAAGAAAAAGACCCAAAAATTGGGACTGTCCCTATAAAAGTGGGACATCTGCTCACCCTATCCCAACCCCCCGTCCTGATTTTTCGCACATGCTATCTGGTCACCCTATCCCCAGCCCAGCCGTGTGTGACCATTCCAATCCTGATTGGCTGCTGAGGAAGTGAGTTACTTCCACTTTCATTCCTTACCCCCCCCCCCACGCACCTCACCCAACCCAGCCCTGCCGGAGGGGAGGGGGGAGAGAGAGGGGGTGCTCCTTGGGGGGGGGAGAAGAATGGACATTATGGGGGACAACAAAGGATACTGGTGCCAGAGCTGCTGAGCCTGCCTCACCTCACGCTGGGGGAAAGTCACGCTCACAGGTGAGTTCCTTCTCCCACCCCTCCCCTTCCCTTCCCAGAGACCCCAATCCCCTCCCTCAGACTGTGCTGCATTCGGCTCTCTCTGGGACCCAGCAGCCCTGCTGTTAAATGCTCCACTGCTTCCCGTCTGTCCGGGCTCCGGGCAGAACAGTGCCCCCAGGCAGAGTGGTGCCCTAGGCGGCTGCCTGTTCTGCCTATGGCTAAGGACGGCCCTGCCGCTGTGTATGTGTAACAGAAGACCGAGCACAATAGGGCCTTGGTCTTGGGTGCAGCCTCTAGCTGCTACAGTATTAAAACTAATCCTGGGATCAATGGAAACAATTACTGTGTCGTCAGACAAGAATGAAACAGGGAAAGTTGTGGTGGGAGGAACAGGCCGAAGATCAGCAGAGAGAAACTCCCCAGCCTAGCGATCTCAATTCCCAACCCTGCAAAATCGTACACACTTTTCCTCATACTACTGCCCCCATTGATTTCAATGTGCCTGAGCTACCGTCAGGACAGGGGTCTTGAGCTGAAACCCGGCTCAGGGATCAAAATCTCTCTCTCTCGGTCAGTGTATTTCCTGCTAACACACGCAGAGGCTAATGGTCTGATTCTCCACTTGCAGCAACTTCACACTGGTGTAGACAGAACAAGGAGTTCCAGTGGGTTACGTCTGGTTTACACCAGGGTGAGGGTGAGGCGAGTGGTCCTGTGAACCCAGTCAGACTGTTCCTGGTCTGTATTCGGGTCGGGGGGAGGCACAGGAGTTAAGTGAGTTTGAGGAGCCTATGACAGGGATGCGGTGGTTTGGGTGACCTCGCTGTGTATGTCCATCCCAGACCATGTTTGCGTTGCCTTTTCCTTTAATCTTAGCTCTGGAGTGGGTAGGCATTGAATGCAAAACACAGGACACTGGGAGTGGGAGAAACTAAAGTCTACTTGATTATTTCAAAGGACAAACAAAGACAGACTCCTTTCCCCAGTCCCAGCCTGCCCAGCCCAATGCGGGACTTTTCACCCCCAGCCCAGCACCTGCGCCCAACGCCCGCATGAACCAGCAACATTTGTCAACGGGTAGAGATGTGCCAAGGAGTCATGAGAGACGCTGGGAGCCAGGCACACAAGCAAACACCCCGGGAGCAGGAAATCCAAAGAGCTCCGGTTGGAGGGATGAGTGTGGAGTGAGTGGGGCAGAGACAGTCTCTGTCGTCCCCACACAGGACAGTATGATAGATGGGCAGCTTCACACGACATTCCTAGGCCGATTCCTGTCTGTCTCTGGCTCTGATGCAGGGAGTTCATAGTTCTCAGCCTCAGCTGCCCGGCTCTGATCGCAAACCCAGGACATTCCCAGCTCTGTTCCCGCACTTCCCGCCCTCTCCTCCTCCTGATGGTATCTCACAGGGATCATTCGGGCAGTGACTTCCTTCCCTGTTTCAGTCTCGGCCTCTCGGAGTGTGAATCGAGCTCTCACCCTGAGAGTTTGTGCTGAGAGAGATTGATCATTGTCATTGTTCAAACACCACACAAAAATCTCACCACAAAGGTTAAAATAAAATACAAAACTATTGTGGCAAATGATCACTTGTCTCATGAGATCCTCACTAAATCTGAGCGACCTCCTGTCACGCTAAGCGAATATCGAAGTATGTGACCAAACGGCCTTCACAAAGAGAGAAAACCCACAATGCAGGGTGGGCTATAAAACACTTTCACATTCCTAAAGGGAAATCTCAGAGAGTCTTTTAAGACTCAAAATCAGGACAATAAATGTTCCCATTTTCTTCTGAAGTGGCTAAACCTGCTTTACGTCTCTCTTAATTATTTGGTTGTATTAGTTACAAAAGGTTTCGCATCATTATAATAAAAGAAAGAGAAAAAAAGACACAAAATAAATAAATCTGAACTAGCCTGGAAGAAGCCCAGAAACCATTTTACCAATAGATGGAAACAGGGCTATAAGATCGGACAGGTCACACTGTGCTTTGAGCTCCATTGGGATTCCTCTGCCCGCTCCCAGGTGTGTGACACTTTCTTCTCCAACCCTCAGGAGTCTGAGGAAGGATCATAGAAATCAAACTGTGGTTCCTAAGCATCCCTCAGACTCACCCCAGCGCCTTCAAACAGCACAGGAGGTAAAACACCACTTTTTACTGTCCCTGCTCCCTCTTTTTTAGCATCTAGTTAATTCTGGCCCATAAGGCAGAAAATATACAAACAATAAATGCTTTTCAGCAATGTGAGAATCTCTGGGCATGAGACAATCTGGCCCCAAAGGGGGAACTCAGGGACTAGCAATCACTCTGCTAACGGGGGGATCAGAACAGATCAGATGCTCAGGGTCAGTTTACATTAGGAAATCTGCTGGAGGGTCACAGGGATGTGCTGGTTCATCCCGACCACGTTTCCTACCATAGAGAGAACTTCCAAGGCTGATGCTGAGGATGCAGAAGTGGGATCTCTGGGCCTCCCACGAAAGGTCCTTTGGGAATCAGTCCCACTCAGTGGTGCTTTCTAATTGCGGAGGGGCCAGGGAGAAGGTGGTGACGCTCTGCACCCCATATTCACCCTAGTGATATGAATGTGACGTAATCATGATGCATCTTGTACAAAATATGTCATGTGAGGTGTCAATGGAAAAGTTACAGTTTGCCGAATATGATTATCCTATTTGTATGCGTGTATCATTGATGTATCTGGAGTTATAAATGCTGACTATGCATCTGGAGAATGATCCGTAGGATGGCGTGGACTGCACCCTCAGCAAGTTTGCAGATGACACTAAACTGGGAGGAGTGGTCGATACGCTGGAGGGTAGGGATAGGATACAGAGGGAGCTAGACAAATTAGAGGATTGGGCCAAAAGAAACCTGATGAGGTTCAACAAGGACAAGTGCAGAGTTCTGCACTTAGGACAGAAGAATCCCATGCACTGCTACAGACTAGGGACCGAATGGCTAGGAAGCAGATCTGCAGAAAAGGACCAAGGGATTACAGTGGACAAGAAGCTGGATATGAGTCGACACTGTGCCCTTGTTGCCAAGAAGTAGTAGTGATCAATGGCTCCATGTCTAGTTGGCAGCCGGTTTCAAGCGGAGTGCCCCAAGGGTCGGTCCTGGGGCCGGTTTTGTTTAATATCTTTATTAATGATCTGGAGGATGGTGTGGACTGCACTCTCAGCAAGTTTGCAGATGACACTAAACTAGGAGGCGTGGTAGATACACTAGAGGGTAGGGATCGGATACAGAGGGGCCTAGACAAATTAGAAGATTGGGCCGAAAAAAACCTGATGAGGTTCAACAAGGACAAGTGCAGAGTCCTGCACTTAGGACGGAAGAATCCCATGCACTGCTACAGACTAGGGACCGAATGGCTACGTAGCAGTTTTGCAGAAAAGGACCTAGGGGTCACAGTGGACGAGAAGCTGGATATGAGTCAACAGTGTGCTCTTGTTGCCAAGAAGGCTAACAGCATTTTGGGCTGTATAAGTAGGGGCATTGCCAGCAGATCGAGGGACGTGATCGTTCCCCTTTATTCGACATTGGTGAGGCCTCATCTGGAATACTGTGTCCAGTTTTGGGCCCCACACTACAAGAAGGATGTGGAAAAATTGGAAAGAGTCCAGCGGAGGGCAACAAAAATGATTAGGGGGCTGGAGCATATGACTTATGAGGCGATACTGAGAGAACTGAGATTCTTTAGTCTCCAGAAGAGACGAATGAGGGGGGATTTTATAGCAGCCTTCAACTGCCTGAAGGGGGTTGCCAAAGAGGATGGAGCTCGGCTGTTCTCAGTGGTAGCAGATGACAGAACAAGGAGTAATGGTTTCAAGTTGCAGTGGGGGAGATCTAGGTTGGATATTAGGAAACACTATTTCACTCGGAGGGTGGTGAAACACTGGAATGCGTTACCTAGGGAGGTGGTGGAGTCTCCTTCCTTGGAGGTTTTTAAGGCCCGGCTTGACAAAGCCCTGGCTGGGATGATTTAGCTGGGAATTGGTCCTGCTTTGAGCAGGGGGTTGGACTAGATGACCTCTTGAGGTCCCTTCCAACCCTGATATTCTATGATTCTATGATTCTAAGAAGGCCAACGGCATTTTGGGCTGTATAAGTAGGGGCATTGCCAGCAGATTGAGGGACATGATCATTCCCCTCTGTTCGACATTGGCCTCATCTGGAATACTGTGTCCAGTTTTGGGCCCCACACTACAAGAAGGATGTGGAAAAATTGGAAAGAGTCCAGCGGAGGGCAACAAAAATGATTAGGGGGCTGGAGCACATGATTTATGAGGAGAGGCTGAGGGAACTGGGATTGTTTAGTCTGCAGAAGAGAAGAGTGAGGGGGGATTTGATAGCTGCTTTCAACTACCTGAAGGGGGGTTCCAAAGAGGATGGAGCTCGGCTGTTCTCAGTGGTAGCAGATGACAGAACAAGGAGTAATGGTCTCAAGTTGCAGTGGGGGAGATCTAGGTTGGATATTAGGAAACACTATTTCACTCGGAGGGTGGTGAAGCACTGGAATGGGTTCCCTAGGGAGGTGGTGGAATCTCCTTCCTTAGGGGTTTTTAAGGTCAAGCTTGACAAAGCCCTGGCTGGGATGATTTAGTTGGGGTTGGTCTTGCTTTGAGCAGGGGGTTGGACTAGATACCTCCTGAGATCCATTCCAACCCTGATATTCTATGATCTGTATTTCAAATGTGTTTGCTCCTGGGTAACACAAAATACTTTACCTCCAGTCTAGCCAGCACATTGTGAAAGGCCTATTCAAGTTGAATGGCCCATCAGCAAAAACAACAGGCTATGGGAAAAGCTTATCCTCACCTGATGATCTTTCCTGTGGACACTTCAGTCAGGGTATGAGCAATGGCTGCTAGAACTCATCGAAGCTTGCAAGGGCATGTGACTAGATCATGTAATACTGGACTCCATCTTGTTGCTTGTACTTTTCCACAAACTCCTGCTGGGGGCTTGGCTTGAACAAAGAAGTTCCCGCCACCTGCAAGAAGCTATAAAAGGGGAAGTGACATCACCACTGAGCCTCTCTCCCCCTACAACTCAACACTGGACAACACCTCAGGAACAAAGAGTTAACTGGGGAATGGGGGGCGGGTCCCAGGCGGGACAGAAGAATTCCTGCCTGCGTACGCAAAAGCTGTAACCTGCTTGTATTAGCTAACAGGGTGAGACACTGCTTGATTCAAATACTATCTAGTTTATAAGGCTTAGATTGTGTTATGTTTTATTTCTTAGGGTCATCTCCTTTGATCAATACGCTCACTACTTATAATTACTTAAAATCTATCTTTCTCAGTGAGTAAGGGAGCCCAGACTGGTATGCCAGAGGGCTCAGCGGGACCCCAGTCACAAAGGTACCGAGGGAATGAATGTTAAGAAGCGTCACTTCTCTATACCCCGTGCTCTCCCTCTCTTCTTATCCCACAGTCCCCAACCGCTTGATAGCCCCAGCACCCGGCTCCCCCTGCTTCCTAGTTCTAGCAGCCCCAACTCTTCAATCCCCGGTTTCCTCCCCAAAACCCATCCTCCTGGTTCCTCAGTATTTGATCCCCCAATATAGCGTTAGCTTCACTTGGAGCATTTGCCACCCTGAAGACATCTCAGAGGTTTCTTCCCCGGGTGGATTTGCTGATGCCTGGTACTACGGGAGCAGTCTAGTGAAGCTTTGCCCAGTCAAGGTCTCTCTGTTGTGTGGATCACTGATGTGTGAACTCCGATTGAATCTAGTGAAGCTATTTCTAGGGTCTCTCACCCTTGGGGATTCTCTAATGTTTGGTAAGCTCTGAGCTCTTACTGACGCTTTTCCCACAGTTGAGGCATTTATGAAGTTTATAGCCTTTGCGGATCCTCTGAGGTCTAATAAGGTTTGTTCTCTCAAGGAAACTTTTCCTACAGTGGAGGCATTTATCAGGTTTATCTCCAGTATGAATTCTCTCAGGGCCGTCCTTGGGATTTATGGGGCCCAATGCAGTACACCTCTACCCCAATATAACGCTGTCCTCGGGAGCCAAAAAAATCTTACCGCGTTATAGGTGAAACCGTGTTATATCGAACTTGCTTTGATCCGCCAGAGTGCACAACCCCGCCCTCCCCCTCCTCGGAGCACTGCTTTACCGCGTCATATCTGAATTCGTGTTATATCGGGTCGCGTTATATCGGGGTAGAGGTGTATTATTAAACTGGGGCCCCTCTGTCTGACAGCAGCCTGGACTCGCATGCGTATTTTAGATAAGGGGGGAGGGTCTTCTGAAGGATTTATTTTAAAAACTGTATGTCTGAAGATCCAAGTGTTTAAGGCTAAAGATGAATACTCAGCTCGTGCATCTAAAAATCTATGCAAGGATTTTTTTAGAGATGTGATTTTATAATCTTCACCAACTCACTAATGAAATATTTTTACAGCAAATTTTAAACTAAGGTCTTGTAGACTAACATGTTCTGAGTAAATATGACAGTAATGAACGGCTGGTTTTGTCAGTACATTCAGAAACTGACAGTATATCCCAGGGGTTGGCAAGTACCTGTGAAATGGCTTCGTTACCACTCGAATGGCTCTTTAACAGTTTCAATGTTGTGCTAATTGGTCTGGCAGGCTGAAGGCTTTTTCACTTTTAAGTTACTAAATCCCCTCCGGAGGAAGACTCACCAGCTATGGTAGGAGCCTACAGGAAGGGTCAGAACTGGGATAGGAAGAGACGGGAGGGGGGACACTAAGACCCAGGGGTGCCCCAAATTTTCAGGTGCCCTACGCAGCGTATGCCTAAGGACGGCCCTGAATTCTCTAGTAAGGTGCGAGATCTGAATGAAACTTTTCCCACAGTCCAAGCACTTCTGGGGTCTCGGTCCAGTGAGTATTCTCTGGTGCGTAACAAATGTTGATGTCTAAATGAAACTTTTCCCACCGTCTAGGCATTTATATGGTCTTTCCTCCCAGGTGGATTGTCTGATGTCTAGTAAGGTTTGATTTGTGGCTGAAGTTTTTCCCACAATCCAAGCATTTATATGGTCTTTCTTCCGTATGGATTCTCCGATGTCTAGCAAGGTATGAGTTGTGACTGAAGCTTTTCCCACACTCCAAGCATTTATGGGGTTTGTCGCCTGTGTGCATTCTCTGATGCGTCATAAGGCTGGATGGCTGAATGAAGCTTTTCCCACAGTCAAGGCACTTATAGGGTTTCTCTCCCATGTGGGTTCTCTCGTGTGTAAGAAGGGATGATTTCTGACGAAAGCTTTTCTCGCATTCCAAGCATGTATAGGGTTTCTCTCCCGTGTGGATTCTTCCATGGTTAATAAGATGTGACCTCTGACTGAAGCTTTTCCCACAGTCCAAGCATTTATAGGGTTTCTCTCCCGTGTGGGTTCTCTTGTGTGTAATAAGGGCTGAGCGCTCACTAAAATCTTTCCCACACTCCAGGCATTTATAGGGTCTCTCTCCTGTGTGCAGTCTCTGGTGTGTCATAAGGGACGACCTCTTACGAAAGCTTTTCCCACATTCCAAGCATGTATAGGGTTTCTCTCCCGTGTGGATTCTTCCATGGTTAATAAGATGTGAGCGCTCACTGAAGGTATTCCCACAGTCCAAACATTTATAGGGTTTCTCTCCTGTGTGGGTTCTTTGGTGCACATTAAGGGCTGATTTGAAATTAAATCTTTTCCCACACTCATGGCATTTATAGGGTCTTTCTCCTGTGTGGATTCTCCCATGTTTAGTAAGAGATGAACTTTCATTAAAACTTTTCCCACACTCAAGGCATCTATAGGGTCTTTCTCCCAGGTGCAGTCTTTGATGTGTAATAAGGTGTGAACTCTGATGGAAACTTTTCCCACAGTCCAAACATTTATAGGGTTTATCTCCTGTATGGATTTTCCAATGCATAGTCAGGCTTGTTCTCACACTGAATCTTTTCCCACAGTCAAGACATTTGTAGGGTTTTTCTTCCTTGTGATTTATCTGCGGAGCTGTGGTTTCCTTGGGATCCATGCATAGAATGGATTCATCCAGTTTCTTCCTCGGATGGTGTTCCAGCTGCCTCCCTGCCCTGCCCTGATTTCCCCAGGCTTTTCCCTGTTTCAAGCACTGGGAAAAACTCCCTTCAGCTCTTCTCAGAAACGTCCCCAGTGGTTCCACTTTCCCAGGAGCTTCCCGCAGTTGATTCTCCTCCTTGTTCTCACTCCCACGCTCATCACCTGCTGGGAGAGAGAGAGACAATCCAGACAGGAGTCATTGTCTGTCCTCTCCATAGATAGGGCTTGTCTACGCTACACTGTTTTGTTGGCAAAAGGCAGCTTTTGTTGACAAAACAAATGAAGGTTTGTTGGCAAAACTCTCCCGTTTTGGCGACAAAAAAACCCCTCCCACCTCGACGAGAGGCATAGAGCTTTTTGCGGCAAAGTTAGAGAGACAAAGCGTCCGTGTAGACACTGCGTTCGTTACGTCACCGTAACTGGCCTTCAGGAAGTATCCCACAATGCCCGCCGTGACCACGTGGCTCACTGTTTTGAACTCCGCTGCCCTGCATCCAGCTACTCAGGCATGCGTCCCTCCCCTTTCAAAGCTCCCGGCAGCGTTGAAATTCCTCAGCGTGCAGAGTTTACATAGCTACTGCCCGGCTGAGCCGGATGGCAGCAAACACACTCCTGCCTGGACTACAGGGGAGGGGAGGATCTCCTGGGTTTGTGGGCAGAGGAGGCTGTGGGAGAACTAGGAGGGAATCACAGCATCATTAACGCAAAATCTTGCTCTTCCCGGCACTAGGAACGCAGGCAGGGCAGGCTGCTGCGGTGGGAGGGGAGGAACACACACACTTCCCCTACACACACTGTGTCTCTGTCTCTCCTCTCTCTCTTCTCACACACACACACACACACACACACACACACACTCTCTCTCTCTCTCTTCCCCTCCTCCCACCTCCCCACACCGACGCTTCAGGTGAAAAGCAGCTGGCAATCGACAGTAGATACGGACACCGCAGTTACAGACTGACCAGTCAACCGGACACCACGTGGAACCAGAAGTACACAACCAGGCAGCAGTGGAGACAAAACGAAAAACCAAACCCCAGCCAATCCTGTACCGTGCCTGTGTTGCAGCTTAAAAGGTAGGCACATCTGGGCTGCCTGTCCCCACCCCCGCTCCCTACTCGCCACGCATGGGGCAGCCACTTACAGGTAGGAGGCAAAGACGCTGAAGCTCACAGGCACAGCTGTGAGCCCCTGCTCCGAGCCATCTGCCCTGAGGAACATCCCATAATCTCTTGTTCAGGGCTACGAACATTTCAGTTAGGAACAACCCCCGTTCCTGAGGTCTCCATAACGCTGAGGTTCCCGTGTAGTAGGGTGAAACCTGCCTCACGTGACGCTCTACCTGCCCCATGAGGCTTCCCAAGGCCCCCTGCGGCCAGTTGTGCAGTGGGATATCTACTCACACTGCTCTGCTCTCTGTGTCAATGCAAGAGCTGCTGGCGTGGCTGTGCTCTGCCAACACAAGGAGCATAGTGTGGACCTGCCACAGGGGTTTAATTACAGCGGTGGCTGTACGTCGGCATAACTTGCGTTGACAAAACTCCATAGTGTAGACGAGGCCTTACTCCAGCCCCAGTGAGTGGCGGGAGTCGATGGGAGAAACTCTCCCGCTGACATACTGCTGTCAACACTGGCGATTACGTGGGTGATTCATAGATGCTAGGACTGCAAGGGACCTCGAGAGGTCATCGAGTCCAGTCCCCTGCCCTCATGGCAGGGCCAAATACTGTCTAGACCATCCCTGATAGACATTTATCTAACCTACTCTGAAATATCTCCAGAGATGGAGATTCCACAACCTCCCTAGGCAATTTATTCCAGTGTTTAACCACCCTGACAGTTAGGAACTTTTTCCTAATGTCCAACCTAGACCTCCCTTGCTGCAGTTTAAGCCCATTGCTTCTTGTTCTATCCTTAGAGGCTAAGGTGAACAAGTTTTCTCCCTCCTCCTTATGACACCCTTTTAGATACCTGAAATCTGCTATCATGTCCCCTCTCAGTCTTCTCTTTTCCAAACTAAACAAACCCAATTCTTTCAGCCTTCCGTCATAGGTCATGTTCAAGACCTTTAATCATTCGCTCTTGTAGAGTTATTAAAAAAAAAAATCCCATCTGGATAATTCCTTCCCC